GTTAAAGATGCAGTGGTTAGTTTTAAGGTGTTCCAGACCCCAGGAGTATTTCCAGGAAAAAAGATAGAAGCAAAAGAAGACACAAACACACATGCATAATACATCTGTTCTCAGGTCTGTTTGGATGAACATTGGTAACTGAAATGCTTTGATAAGCGAGTTACTTTAGTTAGCATAAGACAAATGCTGTGATAAATGCAGCAAGCTGTTTGATAGTACAGGTACCTTGTGTGAAAACACAAACTTTTATGCAACTTTAAAGTGCATTGAAACATTGAAAAAGGAGATTTTGTCAACAGGGAAGTGTTGTGGTTTGATCAGCTTTTTCCCTGAAACTTTAACTTATTTTTCATTACTATTTTACTAATGGCAGAACAGCAGTGTGAGTTTCTGAAAAAAAAAGAATTACTTCTTCTGTCTAGAATGTATACAATATTTTTTTCATTTCTAGCTGATAAAACTCAGAAAATATTGTGATTCTAAATTAGATTTTAAGTAGTGGGATAGATTTACACTTTTCTGTAGATACTAAAATGCAAAACTAAATTTGACTTGTAATGGATACTTGGGTGATTTAGTGTGATTTAGTCAATGTGCTACCACATTTTGTTGCTGTGTTTATTGTGAGATGAAGCTAAGAAATTAAATATACTCTGACCCGTGATGTACGGGATTATTTTTCTTTTTAAAACTGGTGCTGATCTTCTCATGCCTCTTCTTCTTTGAACGCCATTCATATAAAACATTGATTAGTCTTCTGGCACTTTATGTATCTGAAGATCTAATTAACCACTTTAGTTACATGAAGGGAAATTGCAGTTATATAAAACCACATGAATTGTTTACAAAATATATCACAGAGACCAGGTGACCTGAGTCCTGTTCCCAGCTTACTACAAGTCTCATTACTTTAATCTTCAGTAACTCATTTAACATGTCCATACTATGGACTTCCTAAGATATGCCTAGCAAGAATGGCCAAATGGTAAAATAATTGAAAAATTATCTGCTTCATACTGTTAAAATACTAGTTTAATTTCAAAGCAAGCTGCACACCAGATTATTAACCTATGAAATCTTTGGTTGAAATGTTTCGATCATGTTGGAATAGGATTGGAATTTGATAATTAATTTAATTTTGAGATTTTTTTTTTTAATACATTAACTTCCAAAAGGGTTTTCTTACCTCATAAGAAAGAGTGATTTTTTTAATTTTTTTTTTTTTATTTTTCACAAACACCATGAAATTGCAATGCATCTTCTCACCTTACCATATATAGTTTTTATAAAGTAGGTATGCTTATTTTGTACATGGAAAGCATATTAATTTAAGAGTCTGGCTGTCCTATAAATATCAGCATGTGAAACAGCTCTTCTGTACCAGGAGTAGTTGTGTTGACCTTTTTAATGCCATTTACTTCAGTTTTTTAAAAATGTGTTTATATAACTTTTAAGTAGGACTTTCTTTTATATACAAACTGAATTTTATGTACACTTTGCCTCCAGTACTCCAAATACGGTATATGTTTGGTTCAGAATTGCTCTAGCCGTTCAGTATAGAGAATAACTGAAGATCTTATTTCAAGGAATAGGAGAGCTTTGCCCTTTGCAAGAATCAATGGACATTTTATTCTGTACACTGAAAAACTAAAATATTCTCTGTACTCATCTTTCCACATACAATCTTGGTTTAACTCATCTGTTATCCCTTAATCCTATTAATTCTCTCTTTCCAAATACACTTTTTTTCAAGGAATATTTAAGTACAAATTGCAGACTCTCTAGATTCAGGTCACTTTCTACTTACTTGAATCGGAAGATAACAGATATCACTAAATTATCAGTAAAAACATAGGTGGGCCATATATGCCAATTTTGCACTTAATGACTTTGAATATATGCAATATAGAACTATTTCATTACTTGGCACTGCACTGTAGAAACTTACTTCATTTCCTTTGTTTCACAGAGGATTTATATACACCTGAGGATATTGCCAGGCAAATTGGTGTGGATGTGGAAAAACCTTTGGAATATAGTGATACCTGGGAAAAGCCAGTTTCTGGTAAGGTTAATAAAAGAAGACAATATAGCAAATTTTAACAGTTATGAAAGATGAGAACACAAACTTTCCTACACAAAAAGCACCTCCACTAAGAAGAGAAAATAATTGTTAGTCATCCTCATTACTACACATTCTCTTCACTTCAAAGTGCTACTAAAAGTGATAAAATAAGAATATTTCATGATCACTCCTTAGTCATTAACATACACCCTATATTAAAATTACAACCACCAGTGTTGTATCCTTATGATCAAACAGCCACAATACTGTAAGCACTGATTTTTTTCATATAATAGCAAAAGAGAATAAAAAGAATGCATAACCAAATTGTCTTCCCATTTATGAGAAAGTTTTGTTGAACAGTGGGATTTTTGGAAAAATCATGTTAGGTTTGAAGCAAAATCACAATGTGGAGTAAATAAGGTTACAGAGTTTTTTATATGTGCTATGCTAGGCTTGTCAGTTTTACTTTTCTTAGAAGTCTTGCAATCACATTTTCAAAATAATCAAAATATTTTTACTAGAAAATAGTTCCCCTAAATAGACCTTCAAAATTAGGCCTTTTATTTCAATTTTTTCTAGTCAACTTCTTAGAAATTTTCTGTTTCAACTGAAAAGTTGTAATATAGAGTGTATTTATGTGCCACATATATACACACAAACATACATACAGGCATGTAAACACCTTTACATGTAGAGAATTTATTTCTTTCATAAGCATAACCAAGAATAGATCTTGTTTTAGCTGTACTTTTTTACTGGCATAAAAACTGAATGAAAATAAAACCTTTTTGGTTTTACCCTTGGATTTACTCTTCACCTGAAGCTGCTCTTTTTAGTTAGGTTTTCCTTTGAAAACATTTTATTAGATTTAAAAACACAGATCCAAAGATACGCCTCTAACTAATTTATAAACTGCTGTTTGCTCCTAATCCCTGCTGAATTGCCTTTGCACCGAATTTACCTGCACAAAGGCAAGAGCCTGTCTTGGCAGCTGGGTTCTGATGTTCCCAATGTGATGTGCTATTAGTAGCAGCTGGATGCAGACTGTAAACTGAACCAAGGATGGCACTCTGCATTTTTTTGTTGCTGAGTGTAAGGCAGTGGTGTGTACTTAAGTAAATCCAGCTTGTGATTTGCAGAGACTGGAAGTTTTTTCATGCACATAGATTTGAAGGAACATCTACATCTGCTTTTACTCATCTTATGACATTAGATGTTTAAAGTTAAGCTTTTAGAGCTTTGAAATAAGCCAATACCTTGAACTGTGGTCATAAAAGACAGTTGGGTATGGTTGTGAAATTAGCTACTACTGGTTTGTAATTTTCTTGTATAGTTCTGTGATCTCATCTCTCTTCATGAGGCCTTAATATGTATATCAAAATTCAGAATTATAGAATCATAGAATGGTTTGGATTGGAAGGAACCTTTACAGATCAGATAGTTCCACTATTCCTGCCATGGGCAGGGACATCTTTAGATCAGGTTGCTCAAAGTCCCACCCAATGTGGCACTGAACACTTCCAGGGAGGGGGTATCCACAACTTCTCTGGACAACCTGTTCTGGTGACTCCCCATCCTAATAGAAAATAATTTCTTCCTTACAATTAATCTAAATCTATCCTCTTTTAGTTTAAAACTATTACCCCTTGTCCTGTCACTACAGGCCCTAGTAAAAAGTCTCTCTCCATTTCTCTTATAAGCTCCTTTTAAGTACTGAATATTGCTATAAGATCTCCCCAGAGCCTTCTCTTCTCCAACTCTCTCAGCCTTTGTTCACAGGAGAGGTGCTCCAGCCCTTTGATCATTTTTGTGGCCTCCTCTGCCCACAAAACTGGACACCCCAGAGCTGGACACAATACTCTAGGCAGGGTCTCCCAAGAGCACAGTAGAGGGGGAGAATTGCCTCCCTCCACCTGCTGGCCATACTTCTTCTGATGCAGCCCAGGATACAATTGGCTTTCTGGCTGCAAGCACACATTGATGGCTTACATCTCATTTTTCACCTACCCATATCCCCATGTCCTTCTCTTCAGGGTTGTTTTAAGTCTCTGTCACCTAGCCTGTACTGAGACTGGTGATTGCCCCGACCCAGGTGCATGACCTTGCACTTGGCCTTGTTGAACTTTGAGGTTTGCATTGGCCCACTTCTCCAGCCTGTCAGGGTCCCTCATGATGGCATCCCTTCCCTCAGGTGTATCAGCTGCACCACTTAGCTTGGTGTCATCCAGCAACTTGCTGAGGATGCACTGAATCTGACTGTCTATGTCATCAGTAAAGATAATGAAAAGTACTGGTCCCCATATGGTCCCTTGAGGGACACCACTTGTTACTGATCAATATTTAGACATAGAGCCATTGACAGGAAGTCTTTATCTGGGGCTGTCTAGCCAATTCCTTTTCCATCCAGTAGTCCATCCATCAAACCCATATCTGTCCAATTTAGTGACAAGGATGTTGTGTAGGACTGTGTCAGAGGACTTGCAGAATTCAAGACAGATGACAACAGTTGTTCTTCCCTTATCCACCAACACAGTCATTTCATCGTAGAAGGCCACCAGATTAGCCAGGCACTGTCTGCCCTTGTGAGGCCATGTTGGCTGTCTAATCACCTCCCTGTCATTGATATGCCTTGACATAGCTTCCAGGAGGATCTGTTCCATGTTGTTACCAGGCAAAGAGGTGAAGCTGATCAATCAGATATTCCTATATGTTATTCAGTATTTGATTCTGCTTTTAAATACATTTACTTTTTCTGAAAACACAGTGTGTGTTACCTGAAAAATTTACATTTATGCTACTTAGGAGAAATTAAAAAGGTAGGTTACAGCACACAGGAATTAAGCTTGATGTGTTAAGATTCTGACTTAAGAGGCTGCACACCCTCCTTTTTAATGAAGTGTGACAAAGTCAAGGAACTATATTTCTGGTCCACAAAGGACCCCTCAGATTAAATAAATCCTAATAGTTCATTATGCTGCTGTCCTTGAAAGAATCTACACTACCAGAGAATCTCTAAATTCCATTGTGTGTCCTAGTTTACAAGCTAAGTCTCCACACATTCTTAATTTGGCTTGGTAGCATCATAGACCATCACCCAAATCCTTGTGGAAGTAGTAGAAGGGAAGGATGGGGATCCTTGTTTTTCCAGAGTGCAGTATAGTAGATTCAACCCTAACACAATTCACCGAATGTGATGTTTTGGCTTGCATGTAACTTGTGGTCGTGTTGTTCAGAACATACAATAGAAACCACTGACAAGTCAGTACTTGCACATTTTTACCCCATAAATATCTCGGACAATCCCATTAGCTAAATATTGGCAGGGGGAAAATTAATCATGGATCCTACCACGTAGTAGTACCTATGGTATGATGACTTTTATATACAAAAAATTATTATACTTTTTCCAGCCTTTAGGCATATTTTTTTCATCTCCATCTGGAGATCAAGAATTAATATGAAACCTACAGATGCTATTTTCAAAACCATTACATCTTCCTGAATTAGACAGAGCATTATTTCCTGTCTTGATCTGAAGGATTAAAAAAAAAAAAAAAAAAAAGATATTTTATAAGTGACTGCAAAAGTCCAAAAGGAAAAGGGAACAGAGAAAGATGGACATATTCCTGTTTGTATATTGTAAGTATTTCTAAAAAGGCTCTCCCAAATGAGTCTTTGGATCTGCTCCCTTCTGGCCCACAATCATCCTATTTATAGGGTAAACTAAGGTCTGATATGTAGGACCCAAGGTACTCTATGTAGACAGTAAGTCAGTATCAGGCAACTTACATATTTGTTGACATTGGCAGCATTATAAGAATTATATTGCTCTTGAGGATTTTTCCCTCTTAGGTACAAAAAGTCTTTTGTTACATGAATGTGTTGTGCATATCTCCTGTTTTTTCTTAAGGAAAGAAGTGCACAAGTGAAAACTGGAAGAAAAATCCTTTCCTTTGAATAATAAAATACTTTATAATCACCTGGAAAATTCAGTAAAATGTTTTTAAAGTATAAACTAAGAGGCTTAGGTTCTCCTTTCAGACCTCACTAACAAAGGACCTTACCAGATATGTTTAATAGATATTGATTTCTTTTTTACTACATCTTTTGCTTCAGGCTAAGGGTGACTAGTTTTATCAGTTAGAAAGTACAAAAGATCAGAAGTTTTGTGAGTAGGGTACTGAAGATGTTTTCAAGTACACTGAGGTGATGTTTATTGTGGGAAGAAGTATTCTGTTGGCTGCCAAAAAAATTACTGTTGAAAGAAATGAGTAACTACACAAAAAATAAATCACTGAAACTCTTGTACAAAATTCCAAAGGAGCTACATTTTTTCAGTTTAAGTTTAGTTTAAAACTCCATGTCACACACTTCCCAAAGAATTTAAGGCTGAAAATACAACTTAATTCAGCTCCTAACCTCACCTCCTTGCTTTTGATACTAAAACAGACGTGAAACATTATTTGAGAAGTTAGAATATAACTTGTAAGGGGTTTCTGATTTTATGGAAATTGAGGTTAAATAATTAATAACACTGTTTTGTAATGTCATTCAGTAACTACATCACCTGGCCCTCAGCATCCTCCTATACCTCCTGTCAGGCCTACACAAATGCGAAGAAAACCTCTGCCTCCAAACACTGTGACTGGCAAACCAGGGAGTCCAGGTATCTCAGCCTTTTTGGTATAAATATTTTATTATGTGTGAGATAGTACTGAAATGACTAGCTGCATATAGGAGAATTTTATAGTAGAGATTCTAGTCTTCTGGAACATACATGCCTTGTGTCTTCTGTCTTCATACATAAGCTCTGTTTTCTTTGTGTTTTCCTAACCTAGTTATGTCAAAATCATCCCTAACAAGGGAGCTGAAAGCAAAATAGCATAATGCAAGTAATCCTTTAAGAATATCAACCTTAAGAACATTTAATGTTTACTAATACCATCTGCAGTTAGTTAATATGTCTGTTGGGTGGGAGATATTGAATACTATGTTTCAATGCATACTCTCAACTGGTTATTTGTAAAGAAACTCTGTCCCATATATACAGCATATCCATCAACCACTGCAAATAACTTGAGCTAATAGGCACCCAGAAAACTAACTGCACTGGGAGGTAGAGCGAGCTGAGTTATTTCATGTGTAAAGAGTTCATCTTCATTCATGTGCTATAGTATTCCTGCTTCTCAGTATCATTATAAGAACACACAGAAACTTTCACATTTCCGACTTTATTTTCCTAATTTTATCCTGAAGCTGATATTCGGTATCTTTATGTATGTTTTGTCTGTGTATTAGAATCCATAGACTAATGTTGTTCCAGTTAGTCAGAAACTATCATCTCATTATGCTTAGCATAATGAGAAGTGCTTCCCTCTTCATATTACTCTCTGTAGTTCACTGGAAATATAAAGCTCTTGGCTCTGCTGTATTTCCTGATGGCTTTTTTTGTTTTGTTTCATCTGGAGCTTTGTGTGCTATTAAGGCAAGGGAGTTGTGAATTTTTTTCTGCATTCTCTGGAGAGCTAAGACTGCTTGGGTCTGCCAGGCAGTCCCCCTTTTTCCTCTCCTTCCTTTACCCATCTACACAAAAACATCTCTGCTCCAGCAGACATCCTTGTGAGAAAGCTTACTCTGGTATTCATGATATTGTCTTCATGCTGGATGCAGTGGGAGGACCGAAATAAATCTTTAGTATTTTGTGCAGCAGATTAGAAGCAAGAATCTCCAACCTGGATAAAACAAGCTGTGTATTTACTCAGCAGCAGAGCCAAGATCAAAATGTTGTATCTGTACTTGCTGTTGATCCGTGGTGTTTCCTTAGTAATAGCTACAACAGAACATAAGACATTGTCAGTCATAAGCTGTAGTATAAAAAAATGTTGGCCTGAGACATTTTCTTTTGCTTGTAATGAGGTCTATGCTAATTTTCTCCATTAAGTGTCTAATTAATTTACCAGTGTTTTGAAATTTCACCCTTTTTCCATACACTAGAGGCCAGGTTATGTGGTAGTCAGCAGTTACCATACCTTCCTAGGCATTCAAGATGGAATATATTGGTTAGATGATCTGATTCTTCCTTGTGAAGCCAGTAATAGAGTTTCCTTTTTCTGTGTTTCCTAATGTTTTAT